AGGTAGCACTCTTATAAATGCAAATATTGATATTTGCTCGGGTTGAAGCCTTTTCATATTCTTTTTTTCTTTTTTAAAGATATTATTTACTTGTTAGAGAGAGAGAATGTGTGTGAGAGAGAGCAGGAGCAGGGGCAGAGGGAGAGGGAGAAGCAGACTCACTGCTGAGCAGAGGACCCTGGGATCATGACCTGAACCGAAGGCAGACAGATGCTTAACCGACTTGAGCCACCCAGGTGCTCCACCTTTTCATATTCTGTTGGTTGTCTTATTCATGTGCTAGTTGTTAATCATGATGCAGATAGCTAATGCTGTCATTGTATACAACAAAAGTTGTACCCAAAGAAGTTATGCTACAAATCACATAGCAATGATTTAAAATCTCTTTGAGTATGAGGACCATTTTTTTTTAAAGATTTTATTTTTTAAGCAATTCCTACACTCAGCGTGGAGCTTGAACTAGCAACCCTGAGATCAAGAGTCATACGCTCTACCAAGTGAGGCTGCCAGGCACCCCAAGGACCATTTCTGAATGTCAGAATGTCATGTCACTCCCTTCCCTGCTAGACACGTACATACACACATACATAATACTGTTTTCACTTCTACTCTCTGTTATTTAAGAAAATCCATAGTGGAAAACAGTTATTGTGACTGTAGTAAAGTTTTTTAGTGAATATTTTATTATTTTATTAACTACCATAGCATCTTTATACATCTGAAAAGTAGTAATGCATGTGTGAGAGAAATTTTTTCTATCTAGAAAATGAGGAAATGTATCCTGTTTATCATTCTAAGTCATTTAGTTAGAATATTGGTGGTATTTTACCCACAAAAATCCCTCATTTGTTATGTATATTTTTGGATCTAATTAAAGATAAAAATGACAAAGATTGGTATGCATTTAATTTTTTTTTTGCTCTTCTTGTCTGTAGCCCACAAGAAGGGTCCTGCTAGAACAAAGCAATCACCCAAGATGACAAAGCATAATAAATCTGAATGCTTCATACCAGTTCTGAGCATCAGTCCATGCTGCTTATGATTAAATCAGAAAATGTTTGCAAATTAATAGCAAAAAAATTTTTTTTCTCTCTGCAAACATCTTTATAGTGCACCAAAATTTTCTGGTTCATGGGTCTTATTTTACTTAAAAGAAAAAAAACTATCGTCTATAGCATATATCACTTCAAGGAGGAAGAGCTAAAAGTAAAACAACGCATTAACAAAGAAATATTTAGGAGTGTCTACCATGTGACTGGAAAGAAATCATTGGTTTCTTTGATCCTTTTACCACATGTTATCTGTTGGCTTTCAATGAGTAATGAATGCCAATTTCTATGGATGCAGACAAGAATTTTTATATTGCTGAGCTGCATTTAGACTTAGAAAGTTGAGCCAGGTTCTATAGAAATAGATTGCTCTTTGATAGATATTTTCCTCTGGCTAACCATAAAAGCAGTGTTGTTTTCAATTCTTTTTATATTTATAAAGGACAAGCTGATTTGTATCTTTTGGGGACTGGTGAATATTTTTCTGCCCATATGAAGAGCCGATCAGATAGTTATGCATATGGTTCAGTGTCTTTGTTAGATTACGGGAAATAAGAATGTGTGGTTAGAGCTTTGTAAATTGATATGCTAAAGATACCAAGATATTGCTTGTCTTGATATGGCACTAATAGAGAGAGGCAGTTCAATTTTCACACCCTAGGAGGCCTGATTATTTCTGCATAAGGGATTGATACATGGAGATTCATTTTGGAAATAGGATATAGTCACATTTCCCTTAGGTTACTCAGTAGAATATCTACTTTGGGCTGATATCTCTGGTTATCATAAAAGTGAAACTGGGGTATGTATTAATTGTTCAAATAAAATACAAGTCTTTAAAGGACTGTTTCCCTTGCTGTAGAAACTTTCCATGTACTTCTGATGTTAGCAATGTTTTATTGGGAAAGATTGATATCACAACTTTTTAGTATGAACTTTAATATAAAATATGTCTAAAGTACTCTCATTAATCATGAATTACAGGCCTTTCTTGGGCATTTACTGTGTTCAAGGCATTGCAGTTGATGGTGAATATACAATTATCTGTGGTATGATGGAACATGGAGTTTAATTAATGGGCTCTTTTTCATCCTCCTAGTTTAGCTGTCAGTCATACCCCATTTGGCAGTTATAGCTTGGTCACTTATTACTGTAGTGTTGTAAACAACACATGACAAATTTATAGCTTCCAACTTCAAAAGGTTCCATATGGAGCAAGACAGAGACTATTCAAGAAGGAGATGCCAACAGAATAAACAGGTTTCTTGGCCTGTTTCCAGACTGGGTAAAAGATCCTTTGAATTGGCAGAGGGAAGGAGTTAGGAAGAGGAGAATTAGATACAGCACAGTAGCCTTGTGCTGTGCTCTCAGCATCCCAGTGGGGTGAGGCTGGTAACATTTCTCTTGAGATTTTCAGGCATTCAGGAGTAGAGGAGACATGTGCTCTACTTTCCCTTTCTGAAACTTCGGAGGTGGCAGTCTCACTGATGTGTCTTGTGCTATCTTTGTACAGGTGAGTGGGATAGAAATGGTGGCATATATATGAGCCAAATGACTACTGTAGTATGGTTGATATTATACAAGTTAAGAAGAAAGAGAGGTTTGTCTTGGCCTGGGTTTGTTGAGGAAAGTTTAAGTGTTTTCTTGCCTTAGCAAGTTCATATGGGGAACACAATATTATGTTGGCTGGTTAGAATTAATAAAATCTTAATTATCTCAGAATATGAGCAGTAATAATCTTGGCTTCTCCCTTTTTAGCCACATAGATAGTAAAATATCTATTTCTTACCGACTGGAAAATAGATAGAGCAAACAAACTTTTTTCTTCACCCTTTGGGTACTCTTTATTTCTTTAATTATTAAGCTGCTCCAGACCTGATGGTCAATAATTTTCTTTTTTCTTCCTCCTCCCAAAAATCCTGAGGTAGCAGGAATCCTAATCAAGTTCTACCTATGTAATATGCAATATAGAAGAGCAACAATAGCCTCTAATATAACAAATTCTAGTCATTCCATCTTGAAAATAAGCCTAGATCCTAATAATCACTTAGATCATAGGGCACACATATGCCTTGTGGGCTTTTTTTCCTCCCATAAGTTACATTTTTTCCAGATGTTCTTTGGTCTCAAAAAAAGACAGAACAGTCACAGAAAAGGTACCATTTCCATAAATTTTGCCTATCCCAGGAAATCTCCAGGTAAGAGCTTCCTTATATCCAATTTCCATTCTAAGAGTAAAGTAATAAACTAAATTATGGCAAACCAATACAACTCCTTCCTTTCTCTTTATCCCATGCAGTTTGACTTCACAGGACTCAGAAAAACAGTAAAAATATTGCCATAACCATGAATTGTGCCATGTGAACTGGAAATACTGACTATAATGTTTACAAAAGCCCTTGAGAGATGTTGCTTAGATTTAGTTACAGATCTTTTATATTAAACTTAAGTCCTTCAAGAACTATCAGTTATTTAGTGGATTTGGAGGATAATACAGAGTTGCATGATGTAAAATCTGAGTATGGAATTTACATTATAAAACTATAATTACATTTGTCCCTTTGTCTTTTCTATAAGAAATGGCATTTCCTGGCAGAGTAACAGGTGGAGGTATGACCTTTAACCCTAGGTAAGCAATTATATAACTACTTAATAGTAATCACTTTACCATCTGTAGTCCACACTAAATTAAAAGACACCTGACCCTCAATTTTGGCATGTGGCCCCAAACTCTGCCTTTCTTTTCCTAGTTCATTAATGAATGATCATTTCTATCTTGGTGATTCCAACTGTCAGTTTGATGGATGGAAAAACAGAACACTAAGTGTAGCCCCATTTATTCTGAACTGATTAGCTCCACCCAGCTTTGTTCCCATCCTACAGTGCTCAGTTCTAAGATAATTCAGGCTTTCATGTTTCTTCATCCCATTTTGGTCCAGTAAATAGATAGACCATTTGTACTAAATTTCCATGGTGAGGTTTTCTAGTTTTGAGTTAAATTCTTTGGGTTCTGGAGGGAAAGGGGGACAATGAAAGGACAAAAAGCTTTTTGTGGACGTAGATTGCTTTCCCTGTCTCCATGGAGAGACAAAGGTATCCCTTGATGGGTATTAAAATAATGTAAGAGTTCCACCCAGACCTGGATATGAGGAAAGCATTTGCTTTTTGTTCCACCATGTAGCAGGCTTTTAGCAAAGTAGAAAAAAATCAATCACATTTACTGACAGTCTAAACGCTTTTTTAATGTATTTGCTCATTGCTGGTGCCAAAGAGGGGGGCAAGCAGAATGGAGATGTTGGCAATCATAAGCACCCCCCCCTTTTTTTTCAGTTCCACAGATGTTTTGGCCTAAGAGTCTCCACTTTAAGGCTTTTAAAAAGTACCCTCTGTCATCTTGTTATAATAGTTATACATGAAGTATTTGAATTCCACCTTTTTTCCCCCTGGTCTTCTAAGTGTCTGGTTTACTTTCCTTTTCATATTTTTTTTTTTTATGTGATTCTTCCCAATTCTCCATATCATCCCACATCTTTCCATACCAAGGCATCTACTTTGCTGGATTTAAATGGTTTGAGTTTGTTGCCAATGTTGCAATCATCCCTTGGGTATTTGGCCCGCCATATGTGCCTTGTGGGGTATCCTGTACTCTTCAGTATAAAGTAAAGGGTGGGAGTCATGGAATCTGTGACTTGCTGTTTCTGGCAACTCAGCCTTATGAACTGTATTCATGGGAATTTAAGAACCTGCTCTCTAGAGGTCACCTGGCTGCCTAACTACATTACAGTGGAAGATTCATGTTGGAAATGAACTGTTAATACAGAAACATTCTTAATTAATGATGCGGAGTGACTCTGCAGCCAGCCAAAATATGATTATAGAAATATTTATAAAGGTTGTGTGACCTACAAAATAAATTTCCTAAGTATTTTTTAAAAACCTTACAGGCATTGAATTCATTTGTAGTTCATGAGCATGATGGTAGGGTGTTCACGCTGTTGTGTGACATGTGCCTCCCTCAAACCTGGCTACAACCTCGGCACATTACCTGTCTGATATGAAGAGAAAAAAGAAACAAAGAAAAATCTTATAGGGGTTGGGTGTGCATGAAATTTATATGTATATACTCTAATTTATCAATCATATATATATATAGTATACATATGGTATATACTTTATATGTGTATATACTATATATACTCTCAATATGTGTTATCTATTATGCTGTATATATAGTATATGCTATATATGTGTATAAATACTATATATGTATAAATACACTACCCTAAACATACAATGTATTTACACATACATATTTTTTTTTACTGTATATATTATAAATATATAGTATAATATATGTTATATATATATATATCATACATATATGTATGGTAATTTCCTTCTTCTAGGTGTGTCTAGGGAAATGACTATTTCTTTCCAGGTCAGCCTTGAATGTAAGGGTAGTAGATGGTCACTAATGGGGTGATTAACTTGGGTAAGCTTGTAAAGATCTCCGTCAGACCTGTCATGGAACCTCAAATTCTGTCAGTTGGACTTTATTCCTTTAAGCTCTGAAGACCTTTCAGTATGACATTCTTAAGTACCAATTAAAGATTTAAATGCTCTTGGGAACACTTATCAGCTATAGCCTGCTTGAAAGGATAAGGGAAAGGGAAAAAGGGCATCAGGTGACAATTAGATAATAGCAAAGTCTTGGCAAAAGAGTTCAGATAGATATCTGGATTGAGTAGTTGGACCGCTGGGGGTAAGGGATGGGATTCACAGAGGGAGAGGTGGAAAGGAAGTGTCAGAGACAGTTTCACCCACTTAGTGTTGCAGAAGTCTGGCTCAACCCCACTTTTGTGTGTAGTGGGTGTTCACCCTGTCAAACAAGTATTTGGATGGTGTCTGAAGGGAGGTAGAGTAATAACTTTTCTCTCCAAGTTAACAGCCAGAACCTTTACACACCCAAATAAACAACCTTCCGTGCCAAACATCACATTAGTTTATAGGTAGATGTCAGTGGTAGAGCTAAAACATTGCTTTAAAAAGATTTCCTGTTGGAGGGGTCTGACAGAGGAGCTGGAGGACAGTTTGCTGGGCTGGGCCAACAAATGCTCTTCAATGTTTTCCCCAGTGGTTCTGTTGAAGTTGTAATTCATCACATACAAGCAATTTAATGTGTTTCCTTGAAAGTAAAACATCTGGGACAAGGCTCAAGAAAGTAAAAACTTTCGGGGCACCTGGGTGGCTCAGTCGTTAAGCGTCTGCCTTCGGCTCAAGTCATGATCTCAGGGTCCTGGGATCGAGCCCCGCATCGGGCTCCCCGCTCAGCGGGAAGCCTGCTTCTCCCTCTCCCACTCCCCCTGCTTGTGTTCCCTTTCTCGCTGTGTCTCTCTCTATCAAATAAATAAATAAAATCTTAAAAAAAAAAAAGAAAGTAAAAACTTTCCCTTATCTGTTGGGTTTGATGGTGATTGGGTTAGTGACAAAATCTTTAAGTACTTCTTTAAGTTAGCCTCATTTTCTGCCTTTTATGATGACATAGTTTCTTTTGTTAGCTAAGTTTGGCAATTATACCTTTCCCTCAACATTATTAATGAACACCAGGCTAACTCTTTGTCTTGGTCAGTCTTATCCTGCACTTGCTTTCCAGTGCTATATGTTGTCCCTGTCGTTTCCACGTTCCAGACTTAGTATATCCCGCATCCCCCTTTTTAAAAAATTTCCTATTGGCATAACATATTGACCAGCCCAGAGGGGTAAGTGTCAAAAAGTAATGAAGATAATAATAAGTCCCTATTATATGTCAAGTATTGTGTAGAGTTACTTACAAACTTTATTTCATTTAATCCTCAAAGCAATGTTGTAAGATAGATACTATTGTAACTGTTTTTATATGTGTATAAATTTTAGCCAAGACAGGTTCAATAACTCTCACCCTTATACAGTGAGAAGCTGAAATTTTAACCTAGGTATTGCTTGAATCTAAAGTAGTTTTGGTTTATGATCTTGGCCCCATACATTGGCTACCTATTGTTAATGTCTAACATTTCCATTGTCTCATGTGTAAGCATGTAAAGAAATATACACACTTTTCATGTGCCTAATGCTGGAACATTTTCATGTGGTTTCTAATAAAAATGCACAAAACAAGGCAGCTAAAATAATTAAAAATATGTAGAGCAGTAGTTTTCAAATGACAGTCATTGCCATCTAGGGCCACCTGTGTGTAGAGGATTTTTGAGGGAGGTTTGGTTGGGAGGGCTCTGAGGTCTGTTCTTAACAGCTGTACTCTTATCTGTTCTATGTATCAAGATTCCAAGTAATAATTTTTTTCAAACCAAAAATTCCATTGCTTTAAAAACAAAAAAAGTTTCTAAGTCCTGGTGTGTTATAATGTTGGAAAGATTTATGTTAGGAATTTGGGATGTCAAAGTTAGAGCCACAAGGTTGACTGAACTTTCTGGCAATTTCTGAGGAAAAAAGAAACCGTGTTTGTTTATAGAGTCCCCATTATCTTACTTAGAAAAGAAAAGAAAGGAAAGGAGGAAGGGAGGGAGGGCAGAGCAGACAAACCAGTATGGCAAGGCAAACTTTTTCTTGTCATTAATTGCAGGAGGAATTTATAATGTTGTTTCTTGTGTGAGGGGTGTGATGGACAGTGATGTTTCAATCATGATTTTATGTAAGATGTTCTTGTGATGAATTTTTCTTTTAACAATCTTTGATGAAACCTAAAAGCATAATGTTAATAGAAGAGCATACTTGGGGGAGGGAACAAAATAAGGTGTATGAAATGACATACTAACCTGCCTATTCTGCCTCATAGAGTTGTTGCTGAAGCTCAACGAGCTAACTTGTGTGAAAATGTTTGGAAACCTGTCAGAATTACCTAACTTCTAGATAGTTACATCATTCATTAAATCATACATATTATTGAGCTCCTACTCTGTGCCTGGTATTGTTCTAGGTTCTGAGGATGCTCATTACCAATCACTAGAGGTTAGATTTTAGTTGTTTACCCATATCTTTTGCAAATTATATATTTAGTTATCTTGTACTTTGAAAGATAAGTTGGTAACACAAATAAATTGAGTGGGGCTTGATCAGTTATTCCTGGGCTGCTCTCAAAACATGGAATCCTTGAGTCTTTAAGTGGAAGGGTTTATGGATGTTAGTTATCTGGCTCATCCTGCCAATATAAAAATTCCTCTCACAGCATTCCTGAAGAAGGGCATCAGAAAGTCCTTAGGTAATTAGCTCACAGATAGTTATTAGACAACTTCAGATTTTAGAAAATTTCTTCTTTGTGTTGAATAGCCTGGAATATTGGAGAACAATGGAAGAGAAGGGTATTAGAAAATCCTCTATGTTCTTATGTTGATCACTTTGCCTTTTTAACTTCTGCTCATCGACACTAGTTCTGCTATCAGAACCATGAGGGAAAGAATCTTGCCACCTTTTCACTTGACAGCCTTGAGTTTAAAGATGTCTATGATGTCATCCCTGAAATTTTTTCTTTTATAGGCTAAACATTTCCAGTTCTTACATTTTTCATTTAAGATCATTTCCAGACGTCTTGGTTGCCTTTGTCTGATACATTGTTTTGACAGTGTCCCTTTTGCAATACAGCATGCAGAAATAAACAAAAGTGTCCCAGATCTGGCCTGCCTAATGCAATGGACTCCATTCTGGAGAATTTATATATTTTTGGTTTTCATTTTCTTTCTTTTTTCTTTCAAAGCTTCAAATCAACTTATAATTGAAATATGTTTGTGAGTGAACTCTGATCATATGCTATCTCTCAAAATTGTTTACCAATGTTGTTGTACAAACTTGTTATACCTAAAAATGATATATCACATGAAGAATGCTCAGATGAGGTAATAGATACAGGCTCTCTAACTCACAAAACACTAAACAAATATGAGATGTTGTAACTAAGGTCCCCATATTATCAAATTGTTGGTTAACTGAACATAATAATAAAAAAGAAAAAAGAAACATGTCAGTTCTGAAATTATTGTTGAAATACCCTTGCATCGATAGAACTTATTTCTTTCATTTTATTTAGGCAGTTCCTTTCATTTAATCAAATGTTAAATTAACCAAATGTTCCTGACCTTTTTTTCTTTTTCTTGGGATAAATTAATTGGGTCTACTTTTTTATAAATTAATTAAAAAATAGTTATGGAGCACTAATAAATGTAATGCTAAGCAGTTCAGTGGATAAGAGGAGATTTAGGATACTCTGTCATCAAAGAGTCTTATGGAAGCAGGGTGGCCTTTGTCAAAACTGTAAATTTGTCTTTGTTGCTTTCATTAAAATATTCTTTCCAAAAGGTGCTGACATATGGGAAGAAGAGAAAGAACTCCAGTCTGGGAGGTTGGAGAAGTGGTGGATATTGGTATATGTAGCAAATTTGTGATCTTAAGTGTTTAAATATTTGCATTAAGGTGACAGTGGGGACTTTTGGAAAACTATCCATTTCTAGAAGTGAAGGCAGAAACAGAAAGAAGGTAGGGAGAGCTTGATTCAGGGTGCATGGTCTGGAGGATTGGAAGGAAAAGAGAATAAGTACTGTGTGAGGGGAGAGTGCTTTTTTTTTTTTTTTTTCCTGAGAACCCTCTGTTCTGCCAGCCTCAGCATATTAGTCTTTGTTTTTAGGCTTATTCGTTATGGTGTCAAGATGGTTTCAATGGTTCAGACATTACTTCTGCATTAGAGGAATACAGGATGGTATGAAAAGTTGTCCTAACTCAACCCCTGTCTCTTATTAGGGGCAAAAATCTTCTTCAAAATCCCCAATATACTTTCCTTATATATTGGCTATATTCTCACTTTTCAATCCACTGGGAAATACAGTGAGAATGATCAAGATTGGCATAGACAAATCATGGTTTATCTTTTGGAAATGGGAGAAGAGCTCACCTTTCCTAAAAACATGGCTGCACACATTCTCTGACCAAATCAAGAAGGAAAAATGGAAGGGGAAGGTATTGAGTAGGCAATCAGTAGTATTTGTCACAAATGATTGGTCCAGCTGAGATCTCA